GCACTGGGGCAGTGGTGAGAACCACCAGTTTAAGTGTTTTTAGCTCTTTCTAACAAAACACTAAGCTCAAATGGCTTAAACATTTAGCAAGGTGGCATTATTTCACATAACAAGAAGGTTGGAGTTGGTTCATTCAGCTGCTCAATATCATCAGGGACCCAGGCTCTACTCATTTTTGACTTGGTCGTCTAGTTGACTTTTGTCCTCAGGCTTGCCACCGCAAGGTTGCAAAAGTGGCTGCAGCAGCCCAAGCATCAACAGTTACACCAATACTACCTTTAAACATTGCGCTCTGAGGGTAAGATGCTCCCTCCTTCTGAAGAGGAAGGAGGCCTCCCCCAGGAGTCCCCAACTGACTTCCCATTGGCCAAAATTGTGTCACATGCCAATTCCTAAATTCATCATCCAGCCTGGAGAAGAAAATTCTCATGACTAATTTAGATCAAGAACAATTCACATCCTGAAGCTCCTGGGTATCTGATTATGAATAAAATCAGGGTTTATTAGCATGGAAGGCAGAGGGGCAATGACTGGTCATTAAGCAACGACAGTATCTTCCATAAGGAGGTCACATAATTCAGGGAGATTAGGAATGCAGTTTGAAACCTCTATACTTTAATTTCTGGTAATGGGAACTTCCTGAAGGCTTTTGAGCAGGAAAATAACATGAGCAGATTAAGATGTAAGGGATTTGGAAAAATTGTAATTCTGAAAATTATAATTCTTGTTTCACAACATTTACTGGTGGTACACATATTTTCATTCATTTATTGAACAAATATCTTCCGAACGCCTGCTGTTCCAAGTGTGAGGATGCAATGCTGAATAAATGCTGGGGTTCTTGCCTTCAGGAGAGCTTATATTCTGGTGGGGAAGGCAAACTACATCATTTCAAATTTGACTCTGTTTAAGCAGAAAGGAAGCAGTGTAATAAAAATATTCAGTGAGGGAGTGGAGGTGGGACTGGTTTAAATTGGCTGGTCAAGGAAGATTCTTGAGAAGATGATGCTTGAATTAAACCAGAATAATAAGGTGCCTGCCAGGGGAGGATTTGAGAGCAAGTTTGAAGCAGAAGGAACAAGTACAAAGCCCCCAAGAGGGATAATCTTGGCATGTTAGAGACCCATAAGGATCCTAGACAACAGTCAGAAGGGGGCGTGGTGGGAGATAAAGCTGATTTGGGTCGGGAAAGGATTTCTTAAACACCCTCGCCCCCTTCTCAGAGTTGAGATGAAGGAGAAGGACACGGACCAAGCCAGGCACGGCTTCTGGCCATGGTGAAAGGTTGTATGTTATTCCAGGTGTAACGGGAAACACACAGTTTTCAAGAGGGAAGATATTTTTCAAATTTTACTTTCTTTTATTTTCTGGCTTCTGTGTGAAAAAAAAGAGACATAAGGGGCAGGAGCCCTCTTACAACTCTTTTGTAAGGCAGAGTCCCAGGTGCACGAAGGTGACTTGGAATTGGGTGGCAGTGGGACAAGCAGGCAGGTATTATGGGATGCTTCCTAGAGACTGTGAGGTATAGGAGTTACGGTCAAGAGCTACTTGGAAAAGTTCGGTAAGAGCAGAGAGAAATTACTCCCTGGGGATGTTCTAGGCCAGTGCTTTAGTGTGCATGTGAATCCTCTAGGGATCTTTGTAAAGTGCAGATTGTGACTCGGGAGGTCTGAGGTGGGGCCTGGGATTCTGCTTGTCTAACCAGTTTCCAGGTGATGTCACAGCTTCTGGTCTGAGAACCACACTCAGTAGCAGGATTCTAGCACAAGTGAACTTAACTTACATATTTGGTTGCATTTCCTACTACTGTCCTGTGCATACCATGTACAGACCGGTACTGAAACAGTGGCTACATGTTGCTAAATTTAATTAAGCTAAAATAAGACATCCAGTTCCTTAGTTGCACTACTACATCTCAAATGCTCAAAGCCACAGGTGGCTAGTGGCTGCTCTATGGGACAGCCCATGGATAACGAACTTGCCCTTATTAAAGAAAGTTTTACTGGGTGGCGCTGCTCCAGGCAGAGGAAACGATTTCTCGTTCTCTATGCCTCCTGTTACCATCTTTCCTTATTCTGTCTTTTCCAAGGAACACACGTGTTGTCTCTGTTCGAATCAAATGCATCTTTTAAGAACTGTCTCAAATCTATGTCTTCTACAGACCTGTGTATTTGTCCTTCAGCCGCCCCACCTCCCGCCTTTGAAGGAAGTCTCTGAAAGCCACCGCCCTGGGCGCTGGGTGGGGCCGGCGGGGTGCCTCCAGATCCCACTCGCCCTCCTGATCAGCTCACAGGAAACTTCTTGGCTTCCTGTGTCATCTTCCTCTCACTACTGTCCTGTAATATACGGAATCTGACCAGACCCTGCTCCTCCAATTGGCTCAGAAGGCCCCACAGGTACCACTGTCTGGAAGGTTCCTAGACCCCAAACTCAAAGGTGGCCACAAACCCAGACGAACTCATCACCACCCCCGCCTGCCACTTGCTCTCTAAAACTGTATTTCCCAACTAGCACTGGGCAGAAGGTGGAGTGATTCATTCTTGAAGGAACGAAGAACAGACCCTCACTCTTCCACCCTACCCCTCAAAATGTACTAATTCTTGTTGTTTACAAAATAAGACTTAAGCAGCACTCTGGAGGACTACGTACATGGTAAGATTTATCTTTTATTAGAGATCTTATATTACATATTCCCAAAAAGATATAAAACCTTCCAAGAGAAAAATATCAAAACCTATTTGATTCCAAGATAAGCAACATAATCAAAATGAAAGCAAAGATTTTCTTCCAAAGGAATGTGAAAACATTTCGACACAAGTACAACAAAGACATGGGAAGGTAATTAAAATGTTTCACAACACATTTTATAGCATTTTATTTTAATCAGTATTTGAAGAAAACAAGAATGCCGAGTTCTCAAACACTGCAGGTAAAAAGCTCAAATTACCAAAAAAAAAAAAAAAAAAAAAATCACAGGAATGACCTACTCGCTCAACCGAACATCTGCAGTAACAAATGTAATAAAACCCAAGCAAACAAATATGCCACCGAGATCACAACTGAAATGTATGGTTTTTAGGTGTGCCAGAGACACTAAATTAATCAGTTCGTGACCGCAACCCAAAGCAAAAGCATCCTCTCCTCATTTCCCTGATGATTTATTCTAAAAATAAAAAGCAGAAATTTGCTGGTTTAAAGAGAATTTCTGCTTTACCTGTGAACGGTGGCAACACACACTAAGACCCCGACTGACATGGGACAGATCCATCTCAAACAACCAGAAGTGGCAAAACCACTGTTATTGCATCAAGATTTTTAATTTCAACTGATCAGAATTTCCACAATGATTAAGCACACCCACTTAACCACAGAACACAGTGAACTCCCAAAGGAAGGTTTTACATTTAAGATGCAATGAAAATACTGATCTTATTCCTGGGATTTGCTTCTGGCAATCTTAACATCTGTAGATGTCCACAAAAAGGAAGTGCTTTGTTTTTTTTTTTCTTTTAGTTGTTTATCCCCCAAAATGAGGAAGGAAACTTACAGTACATGTTTATTGCATGACATTACTCCCTTATAATATCTTCATCAACACCAGTATTGTTTCCTTAATTATTAAAGGCGAAAAAAATTTATGAACTTAACATAACTTAGCAATAATTGTAGGAGCTGCATCTTGGTAAAAAAAAAAAAAAAAAAAAAAAAGGATGATCATCAGACTACCTGGTGAAACAGAAATTAGGTTTCAACTTCTCTATAAAGATGCTGGAATGGCAGGAGGTAAAAGGAAGTTTAAAGTCAGAGAATAATAAATTTATTAGGTAACACAAAGAGAATTTTCAAAAGTGTACATACTCAGTGAATCCTTTCTATCCTAAAACTGAATATTCTAAATGTTTCTAATGTTGCTTCAGTGTTAATGTCATGTTAATCATGATCCCAAATAAATTTTATCAAAAGTACTGTAATGGCACATAGGCTTGGAACTTCACTTTGAGGTTAGCACGTACAAAAGTTTGGAATTCACTCAACACACATGTTCTTTAATAAAAGAAATCAGGATGAGCTACCTATAAGTGGATTTCAAAACAGGGTCCCTTTTAAAGCATTCTTTCATAGAGTTACCTCCTGTGAAACGGAAACAGTGTATGGATTTTGCATGTCACAAAATCCTTGCTTCAAGCTGCCATCTTCTTGGCAGCAGCGGATTTTAATGAACAGTACTTTTTCTTCCTTGTTTTGTTTTCTGACATCTCAGTACATTCAAATAGTCAAAATGTTTAGAATAACATCACCACAAATTTAATGAAACAGATCAGAATGTGGCCAGCATTGTCAGGCAAAACCGATAACACTTTACGTGTCATAGAAAGTACCCACCTCCTCCCCACCCCCGCCCTCTCCCCCTTCCTCAGTCATATGGACACCAAAAGATTTAACAAGACTTATAAAAAAATAAGGCACATTTATTTTGATATGGTTATTTTTAAAATAGAAAACCCCTCTCCGAACATCTGTATTCAAATGAGCTGTGTAAAAAGACACCTTGTGGTACCTAAAAGAGGTTATGGTACCTATGGGATTGCTGTTTCTATCTTAGTGACAATGGAATAAATTGCACCTATCCCACCCACATTGTCAAGTAATGAAAATATGCCTCTTTTTCTACTATTGAATGATTCAAAATCTGCTATTTCTGGAAATACAAAGAGTGAGAAGGGAGGGGTCAAGTGGTACATTAGAAAAAGGTGTGAAGATCAATGATGTACAGATATCATAAGGGTTGATGGATTGCACTTTTCCACATATTTCAATACACAAAATTTTTCGAATGCGTATGAACGATTGCAACCATTTTGGCCATTAGCTATTACCCTTCAGCTTTTTATTCCATTTTGGTAAAAATGGGTATTTTTGTAAAACTAATGAAGGATCAGCAACATGAATACTTATAACAATCTCTTCACAACTCCCGACACAGATATAGTTAGTTAGCATTTAACCTGAGATACAATCTGTGGAGAGGTTGTTTTAGACATTTCTTCCTTCATTGTTGCATCGATTCATACTGATGGTGGTGATTCATGGATGGAACTTAAAGAAAAACTGGCTATAGCATGGCTTTTTTTTTTTTCTTTCTGTACTAGTAAAAAAAAAAATAATAATAATAATTATAATAACAATCACAGAATTCATGTCCTCACAGTAGCCAGAAGCTAAAATAATGTGCTTCCTTATTGCATGTCAAACCAAGAAGTGTATAAAAGACAGTGCTTCCCATCCAAATTTGAAAGCCAGGTTCATCTCAACTGGATTCGGAATGTGCTGATTTCCATGGGACTCAAGTTGATCTCACTTATATTTCGGGCGTCTGGAGGTGAATGCATCAAGGATAATGACGAAGGTATGAGACTTGCGACAGTAAACATGCTAAAAAGCTTCTGTACCAAAATCTAGAAAATAAATGATAAAAAAAATTGCACAGTTAGGTCAACTTTGAAGAAAGATTAGTAGCACATCTATATATTTATTCAGTGGAAAATAGTAGGAGAGTAAAACAGTGTATTTGAAGTTTCCTTTTAATGATAAAAAGAGGAAGAGGAAGGAGATTAGATACAGCTATGCGAGCCTGGACACACAGACCACCCTGGGAGGGACACCTAGGAGAAGTGTAACCAGGAGAGGACAGCTCACTCTACATTCTTCTTCTGAATTTCTTGAGAACTTATCACGTGCAGGGGCCACTTTTTCAATAAAAGAAAACACATCTATGAGCCAGCAAGCTTTAAAAACATCCGTATCCTCTTACACCCAACATTTACACCTAACAGTTGTCGTTCTTCTTGTTCCCAAAGAGCTGAGAGAAAGGACACAGGCTCCTCATGTCAGTGAGTCCCATTTTCAGGGTTGGGGGGTTGCTGAGAAAGTACTACCCTCACCCCATGTCTCTCTGGACCATATAATACCCTTAAAACTTGACGCCTTAATGTCTATATACAAATGCTTACAACCAAGTACACTCACATCATCAGTAATAAGGTAAAGCGTAAATATCATGAAAAACAAACCCCAAACCATCAGTGCTTTCTTCGCACCAATTCCACGGAGGGCATGATACGAGAAATGAAGAAGCTTATCTGCCTAAGTGGATTTTGACCCCCTACCATATTGTCTTTTCTCTCCTTTTCAGACCCTATGCACATTCTAGTTGGTAGGGTTGGAAATGAATCTCTTAAGTCTGATCTACAGGTTATCTGTGAGGTTTTGGAGAAGAGCTGGGTCAGCTGAGCTGCCCCGTGGGGCAGACCTGCCTGTGTGCCATCCAGCTGTCTTCTCTGAGCACAACCTGCTCAGAGCCAGAGGCAGAAGGCTGGAGGTTCATTTCCTTCCAAGGAGAGCCTGAGGGAACTATCAGAAAGACCAGCTCAAAGGAGACAGAAAAACTGGGCAGCCGGCAGGTCAGCCTGAAGACCTGTTTGGCTGGCACAGTGAGGACTCCTATGCAAATCTGTCTTGATCAGGAGATCTAGACCCTCATTTCCCCTGCGACAACAACTGACTGGAGCTAAGTAAGGTTGCTTCGGGGCCGTGGTGAAACTCCCCGACTGGCCAGTGTCACCACTTCCCTACCCCACCCCACCCCACCTTTAGTTATTATAAAACCTGCTTTTGCCCCTCTGAGACTTCATGGACCTAGATCCTACATGAGCATGTGTGAGAGAGGAGGGAATATTGGGGGATGGGGGGTGGGGAGAGGATGTTTTGTCGGCTGGCAACGGAAGGCCTAGGAATGGAGGAGAATGTTGCCCCTACACGTGCCCATGTTCCAGACGTGCATTTTGATGCTGACAAGGAGAAGAGATCGAAGGTTGAGAAAGTGCTTTCTTAAGATGGAGAGACTTGAGCTAAATTACAGCAGCTGAGGGGAATGAGTCCACGAAGAGGCAATGAAACGTTATCTTATTGTCAGAATGATTAGCAGAAAGCAAGGATTTCAAAGCACATGAAATCAACAAGCAAAAACCACTTTTCAGCTCACCTTTCCCTGGGTTGTGGAACAAAGCAGCCCCGTGTCTCTGCTCGAGAAGTGGCAGTCAAACCCCTTCCTGTGGAGGATCAAGGCTGCCTCATCGGAATGCTTGCCATCCACCTGCAGATGAGCATAGAGTGACAAGACGCCACAGCGACATTAAGGCAAATAGCGACACCACTGTATACTCCACTGTTTTAAAGTCAGCGTCCCCAAACCAAAAATGCTCACTTTATTTAGCAGTGAAGCCAGGAAAATTCATTTCCCCTCCAGTCCCACGTTCACTGTCACACCTGCTACATCCCCTCTACCTCCCCCACAAGGAGGCAGGTGACAATATGTTTTAAGTCACCTCATGCCCTGGTTTCTGGCACAGTCCCCAAGGACCTGCGTGTCCTTTTGTCTACATGCCACATACTGTTTTATCAAAGTTTATTCAAATAAAGCATTTACTTTTTTTAATTTAAATTCAATTACTTAACATATAATGTATTACTGGTTTCATGTCTAGGTAGAGGTCAGTGATTCATCAGTCTTATATAATACCCAGTGCTCATTACATCACGTGCCCTCCTAAATGTCTATCACCCAGTTACCCCATTCCTGTAACCCCTCCCCTCCAGCAACCCTCAGTTTGTTCCCTATGATTAAGAGTCTCTTATGGTTTGTCTCCCTCTCTGGTTTTGTCTTGTTTTATTTTTTCCTCCCTTCCCCTATGACCCTGTTTTGTTTCTTAAATTCCACATACGAGTGAGATTATATATGATAATTGTCTTTCTCTGACTGACTTATTTCGCTTAGCATAATACCCTCTAGTTCCACCCACGTCGTTGTAAAGGGGCAAATAAAACATTTAATTTTTATTTATTTGGTTTTTAACATACACGCCAGCTGAATAAAGTGTACCTGAATTTAGTCCTTATCTGGTCATTGAATGATGTATCATCCATCTCAAAACTGAAACACACTTCTTTATTGAATGCTAATTTTTGCTAATTGCATTAACATTTTTAATCTTTAATGCACTGGTTCATTATTTTTATATAAAAGACATTTAAATTGAGTTAGTTATGCTTATCACTTGCTAGGCCAACCACATTTATTAGCTTGACGTATCATTTAAATTCACATTACAGAAGCTATTCTTCTTGTGCAAAGAGAAAAATACTAAACATGACAAGTCAGCTACAGGGATCAATATATACTTTCTTGCAGTAAAATTTCTTGCATCCATTTAAGTAAAGATGCCAGGAGTGCTCTGAATATTTTAAGTTACAATTCTCTTAATAAATTTTATGTTTCCTCAAGGGGGGAGACGCTTCTGATAATAAGCAAAATAAATTAAGAATCCTTGGACGAATTAAGAAAGGGACAGCTATTCTAAGGAGTTCAGTGTGCTCAGCACTGACCTGTGATGAAAATGATCCCTTTTTCTCCTCTGTGGCCACAGATACGAATATGTCCAAGTTCTTAATCATCTTCACTGGGGGATATGATTTTTAAATGTGCCACAGAGACATCTTTTCTGAGGAGGAGCTGTCAGCATTCTCACCACTGATTTGACTTTAATGTGCCTCAACAATTTAAAGCTGGCCTCACCTCGGATTCTTGGCTGGAATAACCTGCTTTATGATATTTCACACTGGTATTCTGCAGTGGTACTGCTAAGATTTTGTTTGAAGGGAGAGGAAAAAGTCATTTAAGGAATTCTGAGTCATCACAGGACCAACATGATACACATAGCAAGTTTAAATCATATGACAATGTTTTCTAATAAAATTTCAAGGTGGGGCGCCTGGGTGGCTCAGTTGGTTAAGCGACTGCCTTCGGCTCAGGTCATGATCCTGGAGTCCGGGATCGAGTCCCGCATCAGGCTCCCTGCTCGGCAGGGGGTCTGCTTCCCCCTCTGCCCTCTTCCCTCTCGTGCTCTCTGTCTCTCATTCTCTCTCTCTCTCAAATAAATAAATAAAATCTTTAAAAAAAATAAAAAAATAAAAAAATAAAATTTCAAGGTGTTTCACACAGTCCCAAAAGAGCATGAAAAGAGCACAGTAAAAAAAAAAAAAAAAAAAAAAAAAAAAAAAAAAAAAATCCTTCATTTATGACATACATAAGGTCTCCAGAAGGACAAGGACAAGTCTCTCGTGTGCTAAGTGTATAGGCTTGGAATAGTTACTGATCACCTAAGCATCAGTTTCTTTGCCTATAAAATGGACCTAATGCAGGTTTCCCCTCTTCATGGAGTCATGGCGTCTAGTAAGACGTTGAAAATACGAGGTATGGTGGCTTAGCTTATAGGACAGAATGTGTTGGTGTAGAAGCTACAGAAAATGGATCAGAACCTGGGCTGGGAGTCAGGCAGCTTGACATCTAGATCCTAGCTCTGCAATTTCCTAGATGCTTTTAGCAAAACCTGGTTTCTCCTGTAGCATAAAATGCGGAGGGCTACCCACAACCCTTCCCATCCAACATCCCTCCCGCACATTCCTCCAACCTTCCTCCTCCCACTTCAGGGTTTTGCTGTGGCTGCTCTAACGGTCCTCCACACACAGCCTGAAACACACTTATTATCTTAAAGTCTGGAGGTCAGAGTCCAAGGCAGTTCTCACGGGACTAAAGTGTAGGTGTTGGCCACTGCACTCATTTCTGGACGCTCTGGGGAGAGTCCACGTCCTGCTCATGCAGGCTGTTGGCAGAATCCAGTTTCCTGCAGTTGTAGGACTGAGGTTCCCGCCGGCTGCAAGCAGAAGGCCACTCCAAATGCTGGAGGCCACCGCACCCCCCGGCTCATGGCCCCCGCCTCCACTTTCAGAGCCAGCGACAAGACAAGCGTCCATCTGCTGTTGATTCTGACCACTTTTAAGCGCTCACTCCATTCTACTGGACCCACCAGGCCACCCAGGAAAAGGTACCACCTCAGGGTCAGCAGATCTGCACCTTCCAATCTTTGGCCATGTGGTCTGGTTCCAGGTTCCAGGGATAAGGATGCACACATCTTTGGGGT